GCCTTCCCACTATGGTAAGCATGTCTTCCTTGTAGGAACTGAACTACACATGTACAGTGATAGTTTCATGACTCAGAGTGACAAAATATTGAGTGTCCGTATTCATTTATTCCTCTCTCGAGCTCTCTCTTCCCCCCTCCCTCCCTCCCCTCGCCTCCCCCTCCCCCGTGTGTGTGTGTGTGTGTGTGTGTGTGTGTGTGTGTATGTGTGTGTGGTGTGTAGGTTGGAGGACAACCTTGGGCTTTGGTCCTCACCTCCATCTTGCCTGAGACACCGTCTCTTTTTGTCATTCACTGTTGTGTGCACCAGGTTAGCTGGGCTTTTGGTCCCTGGGGATTCTCATCTCCACCTCCCACCTTACCACAGGAGTGCCATGATTACAGATACACCCTGCCATGCCTTTCTTTATGTCGGTTCTGGGGATTCGAACTCAGATCCTCACACTGGCACAGCAATTGCTTTACCCACTGAGCCATCTCTCCAGCAGTGAGTGTTTACACATAAATAATGCCTCTGTGTGTTTGGGTGTTTTGTCGATGGCATGCTGGTGTGGAAGTAAGTAGTGAGAATTACATTTCATTTTTATTTGTTTCATAAAACCTATCCTTCACCTTAGCAAGATTTTCATAATATTTGTGCTCTGTTGGCAGCAGTGATTTAAAGAATTAAAAACAAGATGCAATTATCTTGCAAAGGGCACAGAGTTTGAGCCTCGGGGGTGTGGCTCAGTGGCAGAGCACTTGCCTAGCATGCAAAGGCTTTGTCTCCACTCCTAGTGCCGAGCTCACATACACAGTGTGTGAAGTTTGAATATATTTCTGTCAAAAATGTAAACTAGAGTGAATGTAAATGAAAGAAAATTTATTTTATCTTTGTAGGTGTCACCTTTATAAATTTATTAAAATTAAACAACATGCATCCTAATTAGTATCAGTTTTTAAAATAAGATTACTTAGCCTGGCCAGGTCTTGCAGGCTCAACTGCATGAGAGACAGAAGCACCATGATCACATGGTGGATGAATGCTTGGATAATTTAGCAAGCCTCTGTGTCATAATATAAAGAAAAAATGATAAGGGATGGGGAATATATCTCCGTGGGAGATTGTTTGCCTAGCAAGCACAAGACTCTGAGTTTAATGTCTAGCACCCCCAAAACTAAATAAATAGACTAAGCAAAATGGTGCATACCTGTAACCCTTGGAACCCACATGTGGAAGGCAAGAACTAATGGCCACAACTTGTCCTCTGACTGCTGCATTTACACTGTTGCTCACACAAAAGTAAATAAATAATATAATTTTTGAAAGAGCAAAGATCTCATTTCCTGTTGCCTGAGCACAACAGGAATTGTTAAATATTATAAGAGGTTCCTCAGGCACCATGTGAGTTTCCTGTGAACCCACTAGTGAAATGCAAAAGGAAGAAAACATGCACACACACACACACACACACTCTCTCTCTCTCTCTCTCTCTCTCTCTCTCCCTCTCTCTCTCTCTTACACACCCCCATC